TCGGAGTTATTATGTGTACCATACCTGAATCGCGACAAGAAGACAGTAGTTCCTGCTCCATGGACTTTACAGCCGCTACTATGTTCTCAAATGGGTCATCGGTCAGAAACTCTGCCTTCCCTTTTGCCACATCAATTACACTGATGTGAATAATATGACCTATCAACACAATATTGTATATCACATTAAGTTTCAGAACTAATTTAATTTTGAAGCTATTACATTCCCAGCTGTCTTTACCTGTTTTCGCAACCAAATTCAATGGGTCATAGGTTTCTGAGAAAATTGAAATTTCGTCAAAATAGTCTTGGCACAATTACCTACAACTTTCTTATGTTGTTATATGCGTAAACAAAAAGTCTACGATTTTTTGGAGAAAATGACCATGTCCAGTCGCCTGATGTGTCTATGACTCTGAACTTTAACCTCGTGACCTTAGAACTTGGCTGAAATATTATGTTCTACAATTTTGCAAATGTAGAAGTGTATACAAAAGGTGAACCGTTAATGAGAAATTGGGCATTTTTTTTGTCGTCTGAAGTGTCAGTGACATTTAACTTTAACCTCTATGACCTCGAAACTTTGCCAAAACCTTTTTCGTATTACATTTTGCAACTAGTTTATGTTTATACAGAAAGTGTACCATTTTTAGGAAAATTTGTAATTTTTAGTCTTCCAGAGTGTCGGTGTATGTGTACTGTTTTTTTTTAGGAACTTTGCAATTTCAGTTTCCCCAAGTGTCCACGACCTTGACCTTTGAACTTGTGACATAGAAACTTTGCGGAAATATTCCTTGCATTACTTCCTATAGCTTTCTAATATATTTGTTTATACGAAAAGTGTACCGTTTTTATGGAAATTCGAAAATTCAGATTCTTGCCATGTTTCATGTTTCATTTGTATTTAATGACCGTGAGCTTCTTCCTCATGACGTTGAACAATATATGTACCAATGACATTTTTTACAATTTACTGCTAGTTACTTGTTAACAAAAAGTTAGCCGTTTTTCAGTTAACAAACTAGTTTTATAAAATAGTAACCAATGTCATCTACTTACGCTATATACAGATATATTTTATACATCTGAAAGAGCAAAACATTATTTGCAAATTAGTATTGATGGAAGCGAAACTGCCTGCATCTTTGAGCAAAACCACGGAAGGCCTGATGACGTCACAAATGTTGCTGCGTGACGTCATTCATGCGTGTTTACAACAATGTTTATTTATAGGCATTTCAGTCAAATCTTTTGTACTGGTGCTCGTCTGCATTTTGATACATGTGTATTTGGACAAATTATTAACCGAAACCCTTACTTATATGACGAATTGCCTGCATGTTCTACAACTAAGCTAAAGGGAAATTATATGTACAATTAAAATCTGCCACACGCAAAACAGATAGGTAGCAAATGTTTTTTTAAAATTTATACATCAGATATAAAGATGCATACTTTATCAAAAAATATATTTCATTATATGTAACTACAAAATGTAGCATGGCTTCGCCAGTCCGTTTAATTTGCACAAATATATATCTGAATGTATTTTATGTACAGTAGTAGCCTTGCTTAAGTTAGATTTATTTTGAATTGGAAAAGTAGAATTTTATATTTTTCCACACGAATAATTATTTCTTCAGTTGCACGAGATTATCGGCCAGTATTATATAAGCTGATGCTACACTACCCGGGGTATGTGGTGACGTTTCCAGAGGCTTGCGCACGCGCCTGAATCACAACTGTCCCGAGACTAGAAGAGACAAGTCACATTAATTCATGGCAACAATTGTATACTCGAAATAAATAGTAACACATAACTAATAGATTTTCAGAAGAAATGTTTTCCTGCAATCTATCTAATCACAGACAATTGTATTTAATGGGACATCATGGTGAAGTGTAAATTGTTTTTGTCTTTTTTTTTTCAAATAAAATGTACGACATAAACATATCAAGTGTGACTCCTTATGGAAAATAACGATCTGATACACGTACATGTTTGATGGGTGGGGGAGACGGTTTGGGATGGGGTGTTCAATACAACTATCTGATTGCAAATCTTTTTCGATGAACAAACAATGCAACAAAATCTCGTGTAAATTATATTTGTTTCTGAACAGGTTTTTAAAAAATATAGGGTGTAGTTGACTACTCTGAATGTTTTAACGGGTTATTTTCCCTAGTTTCATTAGAAATCGCCCAATCGAACCACTCTCGGTCATTTCCGTCCATGTCCATTTCCTTTTTTCAGATCTGAATCGTGATTCTCCCAGAATGCATCGTGATATCGGTTCCTATCATCGACTGAATGGAAAGACTGCGCAGACCGGATTTCTTGCCATAGCACCTATTTGTTTCTCCATTGTGCCGCTCTTTTTTCGATATTTATTTCGAATGAAAAGAAAACGCTAAAATTGAGCGTAGCACAAGATACTGTGAAAGTAGGTTAAGGATAGTAGAGGTCGCCTGGATTATAATCTTGTTTTTACTCAATACGTTTCCTTTGTAATTTCTAGACGCTAGGCGTTTGATTTGTTCATAGCAAACGAAGGTGGCTACGTTCCAAGATCCAAGTCTGATTAAGGACGGGGTGAACCTGGATAGAACAACATACGATATCGTCAGTACCACACAACACGATACAGGCAAAGGTTTCAGACGTCCCTTTATTGTTGTGATTATGATCTATAACGATAATAGATGTCGCCTAGATTATTATCTTGATTTTATTCAATACGTTACTTTTGTAATTTCTAGATGAATATTTTGTTATTACGAGATAGATTTCTAGATAAGTTTACAGACACACAAATTTTTCAAAAAAAAAAAAAAAAAAAAAAGGAATTTTTTACATCTATTTATAGATTCCCTGGCATAACGTAAGTATTTGATCTCATCCATGGCCCATAGCATAACAACTGACAAAATCAGTGCAATACCGAGAGGGCGTGTTTTGGGAGGCAATGGGGATAGTGTCTGCGTTAGGAGAATACATTTTGCGTGGATATAAGTTAATGAAGCCAAATTTATCAATCTTTCCAACATTTCGAATTAATCATTATTTAGTTCACCCACCATAAAATGGATCTCTTTCAATCTTTCTATTATTTTCAGCGAGTGTAGTGTAGATATACACCCCTAAAACGTCTATTATCACTTTGAACAAGTCGGATAAAGTGAAAGCATACAGCCTGTATTTTTTGTCCTTAGGTCCAAGTGTTTACCTTTAGACCCATAGCTATGACATGGACACACAAACTTGCAAGTCAAAATCAGGATTGGGGAAAGTATAAGCCTGCTTTAAACCACTGCATGATTACATTGGGTGACTAATGGGAGCCCCTGTAAAAATGCGGATGGTTGCTTTTGCGTCTTCTGTTTAGAGAACATTTGAAGAACAAAGAACTGACCAGCTGTATCTAACTGCATTGTGTATCGTTAGAGTTGATCTCTTCCTTGTCTTCTACTGAAAGGATATTTAAGAGACCAATATTTATCCACTGCCCTTGTGAACCTTTTTGATATTTATTCTCCTCTTATCATTCTTACCTCTTTCATTCTTCACTATCTGCTCTCTCTTTCCGTCGACGTCTCTCTAGGCACCCGTCTTCTATATTACATGTATGACCTTATTACCTTTGCTGTTGCGAGGACATTACCTCTCCCCCCAATCCCAACCCACAAAAAATAAGAATAAAAGAGAAATGATTGTAATCTGGATATAACATTTGGTATGCATAGGTGGTATTTGCAAAGTGAAAAATTTGTATGCTTGTTTACATCAGTGAATCATATAAGTGAGGAACACTCTAACCACTGTACATGATTTAAATGCTAAAGGGCACGTAATCATCGTCCTTCAAATATATCAAGTCATGCACTTTTGATTAAAAACCGGTTTTCTTTGCTTCGCAAACAACACGCCATTTAAAGGTAATCATACTGTCTTCGTGTTTATCATACACATGTTGTAAACACACATAAATATTCGGAATGTCACTTTAAATAATTATGAAACATGCGACATTAAAGTACTGACCCAGTTTCTTCGTGTTGCTTCTAAAAGCACGAGAATTTAAGAAAATCGCCAACTGGTTCCGGATGGTGTCCTATAGACCTATACCATGTCTTTCCAGGTACGACAAAACCTGTCTAATCCAACATCCTATGAGATCAAATAAATTGATTAGATTAAGCAGGTTGTCAGAATACAAAGGTTTTATTCCGTATTTTTAATTATAATGATAGTTGTATGATACATAACTGATGTCGGAATTATCGGTTTTTCTCTCGAGAACCGCCCTAGTTTCAATATGTTGCCGGGAAATAGGGTTATTAATTTTGTTCAAATACATTACTTTGACAGTAGACATGCAGCTCGCTATAAAGATGAAGGGCTATCTTGTATTTTTTAAATAAGTCACATCTGCCAATATTCAAGGTCACAGGAATAATATGAGGTAAAATCTTCAAATGACATCTTCCAAAGAACGATGTACATGTATGTGGCCAGAAGCTTATTTTTAATGAACCGTGCGACCTACGATAAAAGGGTTTTTAATTTAACGACATTGACTTGCAACAAAGGTCACAGGGTTCAAAAGTTATGAACAATGAGACTTTGAGTAATAGTATTTGGTACGAATATTGTTGGTGTGAAAGACTACCAATAAATCACCTTGACGCTAATAGGAGGTCACATGGGTTATATATGTTGAAAACTTCATACCGCTTTTTACCAAGAACATCTGGACTCGTACTGCAAGCATGTTGCTTGTTCTCTCGTTTGAAAAGATCACCAATCTTGCATTGTATCCAGGGACATGCACTGAGATGAAAAGAGTTTAAGGCATGCAGGGTTTACGGTTTGTTTGAAATTCAAGGAAGTTCAAGCATAGAAGTTAGTATTTCGGTATTGTCTAATGAACACTTTTCGACAACGCCTCTAAATAACACTGATACAGGCCCCTTGCTTTCATAAATACAACAACAAAATAATACATTCATCAGGTTTTTATAAAGATAACCACGGGATGATAACAAGTTCATATAATAATGAGATAATCAACGGGGGTCGCTGAATCCCTGAACCACAGATTGATTCTTCACAGACATTTATGCAACCGTACATTAATACAATACACATCAATATGCATTTGATACAAACGCGGTTTATTTCAGTGATACAACCAATTACATATAGTCACTTATAACTAAATACATGTGCTTTCAATCCACTTTGGTTTGCGTACTTTTGTCAAACGTACAGAACCATAATATAATTAAAAACAAGAGAGATTTAGTCAAAATATTTTGATACATTTGATATAGTTGATATATATCAAATATACGTGATTGAAACAACCGTCTGAAAGACACTGGAGATCGAGATAACATAGGGTAGGGATGCTACAACACTAGCACTATGGAAGATTGGATGATTGATATGGTATTAAACCCATACTAGCTAACACTCACGCGCACTACTTTATCTCACCTGTAGAACATACACATTTATTCACGTCTAGGACTCTCCTCCTCAGTCCGAATTCTTATTTTCCGAAAACCATATTCCGGAACTGTACCGTTTAAGGGAGAGTTTGAAAAGAGATTATCTGATAAATAGGATGTAACCAGTGAATAATGAACAGACATTGTTAGATCTCTTTCCAATCGGGAACTGCCGGTACTTTCCGTAGACGAGAAGGTTTTGCTATCTCGTTTACGGAAAGTGCCGACGATTCCCGATTGATCTCTGTTAGGGACATTTTATTTTTCGAAAGTACTGAACTGTGAATGGCCACTAAAACGTTACCAAGTACATAAAACAAACCTTGTACATATCCCCAAACATCAATGTCAAATATGTCGCTAAATAAAACAATTCACGAAAAAAGGTGATATTTGCATGATCTAGTTTGTATATTGCGAATGGAAAGTAGTCAACATACATGTACAAATACACACATTTATACTCATACCTGAACATGAATATGTATAAATATAAACGTGTGTAAATACACATATACGTACATATGTAAAAAAAAAGTAAACTGAACAGGTTGATACGGTTATGTATTTCTAGCAGAAAATGTTTAATTACAAGTGTAATGTTTGTGATAAAAAACTCGACTTTGAGATAATTGAAATAATTTCATCCGCGAATCTGTGTTATGATCTTTACAAAGAAAAAATTTACGCTTGCCCTGCGTCGTCCCATTGCAATATATTGATAATGTAATACATGTTGCGACACTAGAACATAATTTAGTCATGTAATCACTACTGTGACGCTACTTATCTGATTGAGACAACACAGATGTTGCTGTTCAAAGAATTCAACGCAACGACATTACGAACCTGAAATGAATTAAAGCATAAGTACTCTATTCAAATGTAATAATTACCCGTTGTGCTCCTTTCATATTGTCCATGAATGCCAACTGAAAGCAGTTCAATACTTATATTTACCAGCCATCTGTTCAGGGTTGGTCAGTGGTGTCCAACGTAACAATAATGACCCAACAATATTGATGCCGTCAACAATCGGCTAATGGCATTGATAGCTTAGATGAACGCCATCTGAATGTGGTAGTGTTATATAGTGGCAATGCCATATCGTTAGCAAATGGTGTTATGGTACGAATTGTTACTTATTACATTTGATGTAAATTCTACTGATTCAAATATCCTAAATACATATATGCATATGTTGCATTAATTTTAAAATCGCTTAACATATCTTGTATATTATTTGAACAATATTATACATATAGTCCCTTATATCTCTGTTAAATTTCAGCATGTATTAACATTCCATTATATGTATATAATAGTTCAAAATAATTTCACAATAACATCACGTGTGATGACGACACACATATATACATCTATGTATACTAAGTATACTAAGTTATGCCAGAAACTGGATAAACAAAATATTTTTCCATATCAAATGTCTTCGAACTTCAATAGATATACATGTATATAATCAAATAGCTATCATTTGGTATCCTTCCATTGGTTGATCCGATATAAAGAGGTTGCGTTGTACCAGGGTCGTCGGTTTGAGATATATTTGATGCACCTTTCTACACTTCATGTGATAAAAAGTTTTTAGAACACCAATAGTATATTGCTGGTATTACAATTGAATTCATCAGTGACTTCACAGGCACTTTATAAAGGCGGACAAAATCCAAGGTAAGCTTTGATGTAAGTATATCACCCCACGTTGTTAATCATTTTCTCAACCCATCAAGTTATGATTTGGAAAAGTAATATACATTTTAGTCAGATAAGTTCACCTGGATAACGTCATTCAGTTTGAGCGAAGTGTTGGACCCTTGTTTCGTTGACGTCACAGTGTGCTTTGGCCAACGGGGAAACCCGAAGTGTAGAACGAGGTTCCAGTGCTAGGCGTTTGATTTGTTCATAGCAAACAAAGGTGGCTACGTTCCAAGATCCAAGTCTAATGAAGGACGGGGTGAACCTGGATAAAACAACATACGATATCGTCAGGACCACACAAATATCTTCCTAGAGTAAGACCACATAGTTATTAATAGGTTATAGTGTTTATTGGTGTATTATGTTACGTGATGTGCAGACAATGTAATTGTATCATAACGCATGTCTTACTGGACTTCATAAAAAGTTATAGACACCAGGTTAAGTATATTCCCGAGACAACATCAATTATCTTATTGATATTATCATATTTATAAATTTAAGGCCCGGACGATTTGTTTATTTGGACCTTGAGCAGGTTTGCTACAGTATATATGGCAAACCGTCTTGAGACGATACGTGTCGCTGAACTGTTATCACAGTATATTTGCACTTATACGTGTAGCTCAGACAGCGTTGTCTGAACCCTGAACCTCACAATGATTTGTAAGCAAAAGTAGAACTAACCTATAAAATAAACACACTATATTGTTCTTGTTCCTTAGAACATATACGCGTCGTCGAGATTGTGGAGGCTTGGTAAAATCTAGGCCGTAAATAACAATAATGAAACAACACGGTGACAAACAAGAACACACGCTTGAATTTGTTGTGGGACGTATGTACTGTAAAAGTAGGAATTTTTGCGGTTTGGAAAACGTTTCGCTATTTTGTTCCTTTATTAAATCTTTATGAAAATAGTACAATAATTTTGTGATTATATTGATAAATATCGTTTGCCATATACATTTTCTTATGATCAAAGGTATAGCTTATATGAGCAATTTAATTGATTAATCTCCCCTTACCATTATCCCCAGCTAGGGACGAAATGGATATATATATATATTACTCATCCGCATAACTGCCTGTATTACTATAGTGCAATGGGGACGATATGTCTCGATAAGATTTTTGACATAGTACTTATCGAGTTATTTTCATTGTTTTGTATACCACATCTTCGGTTGCAAAACAAAAACTTGTATACGTATAGTCCTCTTACTGAAGCGTTGCAATGATTTACAACACCGAACCTCTCTGACTTCTTTAATAAAACTTACCCTTTATAGAATGTGCGGAAGCCGTTTTCATTGAACATCTTGATAGCACAATCTAACGCCCCCTTGTAGCGTCCCTCCTCTGCGTTCATAAATCGGGTCTTGATCACGTCGACAGGGGAAGCAACTACTGTGGCACAGAAGCCTGCCCCGAAGGCCGCTACGAAATGGCAAGGGAGACTGTCCGATAGAAGGTTCCTTGATATAATGTTAGTTTTTAACATGTCGTAAGTGACAATTTCCCCGACATTAATGATGCTGGTTCGGGCCGTGTTTGGTAGCACACCCTTCCATAGCCCATGTCGGACCCCCTCTTGTTTGGCAATTGTCCTGTATGCATCAATGCACCCCGAGTATCTATTCGGAACACCTTTACTCTGGGCTTGCATTCGCACCTTAACCACATCTGTGGGTTGAGCGAACCATACACACACTGAACCGGTCGTAATAGCAGAACTTATGCGGATGAACAAGTTGTCTTTTTTGTTGATGTCTGTCAAAACGGTAAAATATATATTATATATTAAGGCTCTAGTATGCAAATATGATTTAGACGTTCTAGAACATTGATTGCGTCACACATTTTGTGAAAAACCTCAAATACAATAATTAAATCCTTCTAAACTCTCCGTAAGATACAGAATGAAAAACATTTTTTCAGCCAAATTCACGTCTTGCAGGAGGAATACGGTTTTATAGACGCAATCGACAATAGACCTTCAAAGCAACCTCTTGATATATGCTTACCATTGTAGATCAGTCCTTTGTATTGTTTCTTGACCTCATCATAGCCGCCCAGTCTTATGGAAGAGAAACACATCTGTCTGTGTAACCCTGGAACAAGACCACTATACAGCCGCCGAGCCCCTTCCTCACGCGCAATCGTGCGGATTGTACCGAACACACCGTGGTACCTCGGGGCCCCGCTACTGACCACGCTCATGTTCTCACCCTGTACCTGGAAATACAAATGTTCACATGTACTTGTATGAAATAATGCTTTCTCCAATGAGAAAAGAGTAAAAGATGTAAATATATTTTAAAATATCTAGATTATACCAAATAGCATTTGGCCTCGACCTCACTGATTTGTTTAATCGAATTATAATTAAACAGTTGTCGACCTCAATATTGCACACTGAAAAAACGTATATATGGGCAAATCGGTTACAATGTTTTAAGCAATCATTCAGCCCTTTCGCATCAGATACCTATAATTATTTTCTTTCAGAAAATATACGGAAAACATGTCAGTATATATGTTTCAAAAAACATGAGCACGTTTTTGTCGTATATGTATTTTCACGTTGTTAACCTTTGGTCAACGAGCCGGGATTTGTGATATGACCCTAACCGGCGAACATTCGCCATACAAAGTGCATTGTCAAATGCAGATTAGACAGAATCGCGTGGTTCATTTCAGATCTATATGATCGTTCTCCTCCATTTCTTTGAGAGGTTTGTGACTTTACGTAACGATGATGCTTTTACAACAAAAGCCTTCAATTTGTTATTAAACTAACCTGTATCATTAATTGAAACTATATTTTTAAAACAGCTGCATTTGTCCAGTATGTGCTCTTCAGAGACTTAGTAGAAAATATGTAGGCAGAGGTAGAGATACTAATACTGATATACCGAGAAGACTTTCTGACAGTTCATGTGACATACCCATCTCTCTGAGCTTAATCATCAAACGCTTGGATTAAATGTGACAATAAAACCTAAAATATGGATTAGAATACAGCTAGCTTGACAATATAACGTTTTCTCGAGACATTTGCTCCATGAGCAGATGGGATTTCCATAACTATTTCACATCGAATTTCCCGTTGTGAAGTATTTCAATAGAGATATTCATGAATTGTACAGCGCACGACGTGCATTTATGTATTCGTGACTCGTGCTTAAATAATCAATTGTATTGATCTTTTGAGTAACATTAAAAAACCCACATATCAATACCATGCATAAGGTTTTGTTCTATACAATGCTTCGCTAGAGGGAAGTTTATCACTATGCGTCACATGGAAATGTAAATGAATTTTCTTTCATCACGTGATGATATCCTGAATATCCGTCAGGTGATTATCGCACGCTAGTCACTCCAGTCACGAGAGTATATTTTACAGATTGTGAGATATGCAATGTATAATTGTACTCAGAATCACCTGTTCGTTTCTAACAATGACCTAGTTTGAAATTTGTTTTATTGCCAAAATAAAGTAAATGGATAGGGCAACAGTTTGCAAAACGTATAGAGACTTTTCCTTACATTGACATATAAGTTACGCTTGGACGACATTCGAGAATGCGTACAATTTGTAATATGATAATCAATTGTTCATCCCAGATCACGAGAATACGTTGGCTGATTTGTGTCATTTCGTGCTTTCCTCGATTTGCCTCGAAAATACGAAATTCAATATGAGTAAATGCAAAGAACGAGATTTAATACTTCTTGAATTTCTCCATTTCGTTATATCGCGTACATGCATTCCATATCTAAAAGGATGGGATTTCAGAGACACGTGTGCAAACAAGAGAACTAAGTGTTAAATGCCATCTTTACACATATTAAATATTCCAAAGTCCGAGAGGACGAGTCATAAAGGTATATTAACTCTCGTTCTGTTATATTCTAGATGTGCAAAATGACAGATGGACATGACAAAAGGACACGACTGAAGAAGTAATTTCGTGCTTCGCATGTGTTTATCCAATGTGTTTACTTATATTTGCTGTCATAATAAATTCGCTCTCATTACAGGGAGCAGAAAAGGCAAACGTTTCATAATTTTTTTATATATATAAATACTGCAGCGAAAATTTCCCCTGACAAAATGACGAGAAAGAAGAAGTGTTCAAACTCGTCCATTATAGACAGACATATGAAATGGCAGTAACCAGCCTCCGTACAAGGAACCACACATAACATATTGTGGCGTCTCTGATGCATACTAAATTACACCTATTAGCTAGAAAAGAAATCGATATACCTTCGTTGACCTACATTTATGTTTTGATTTTACGGATGGATTACCCTGGAAAATGGCTATACCATTTACCTGGCTGGTTTTCTAAAGTCCACATACTGAGCTTATATCCTTTGTGGTATATGCTCACAGTGGTGTGTTTTTCAGGGAACAATTACCCTGCCGGGATTCTTTATAGCGTCAATAAGCTGTTTATTGCAGTACTCTGAAATCTTGCGAAAAATACATATATGTAATACACCTAGGAAGACGGGGGTTTTAAAGGCATTGCTAACCGTGGTGAGATTTTAGAATCGTTCATATTTAGAGATATGTATTTTTTTTCTCCTGTGTACTTGCACTTCTACAGGCCATTTGTCCAACTAATGGAAGTGCCAAATATTTTATGTTTTCTCTGTAGATAGACAGAAAAACCGTAATGTCAACTAGAAAGACCGTGTCTCAATAGAAAACACTTTTTTTTTATCTTCTTACACAATAAAATTATTAATTTTTCAATGATCAATGGTAGAAGAAGTTGAAAGATATGACGCCATACATAATTCATGTAACGTCAGTTACTTTTTCTCACATGATGTAAACTTAACCCTACAAATTGCTAGAAATTTAAAAACCCTTGTTTGATGTAGACAGACAAATCTTAGGCAGATACTTTTAAGGCAGTTCATCGAGAGGCTTTGCAAAGTGCTGAATCTATAATAATTGAACATAAAAAATAGGATTCCCCTGGTTAATGATTTGTCTTTCTATATCACACGAGTGCCAGATAGTTTTCTCCCACACATTCTAATCGCAAAGAAAAAAAGCTCAAACTCTTCAGGTTTAGCCCCTTGCACCACTTCGTTGTCAAATGAAATATGTGACAGAATATTCTCAGTAATGACGCGACCCCATTGTACTCTGGTGACGCTGCATCCAGTTAATGGTGTTTAATGATGCAATCTTATTGAAAATAAGAGAACTACAATACAAGATGAAAGTCGAATCTTAGTGCGTATGAAATCTGTCTTGATCTAGGTAGGTATATCAAGACAGATTGATGTTTTGCCAAGCATAAAGGGGGTTGCATCTGTGATGTGTGGGGGAATAAAATACGTTTTTTATGTAACAGTATGTAGAAAGAGAATTGCTTCTTCGGCAGAGCCCCAATTATATACTGAATCCTCTATCAACTTCTCTTACATATGGAAGAGTCTTGTAATCCTACATCTCTGTCAGATATTTAGTATACTTTGTAGTATCTATTCTTAAGTATGAGATGTAAAGATAAGAGTGTACTCGTTAACAGTATCAACAGTTGATATTGATGTATCCTGATCCATATTCAATCTTCTACTGCATTTACTTAATTATGGGCCGTTTATTATCTTATTTTAAGTTTATTGACATGATATTATAATAGATTTGAATGTTAAGAATTCTTTCGATGTGATTTGAAATATGCTTTTAATAAACGATACAGCAATCTCTCCCAGTGTTCGTTGTAGATTTGCTCTTTTCTGCATCAATATGGCCCGAGGCCAAACCGGCCAATAAAGCGACGCCCTGTATTTGAATAGGAAAAAATAACTAACAACAGCTTTATATGTCATAGATGGGCGTTGTCAGTATCTTTTATACTTTATTATATATCAAGACACAAAGCTGAGATGTTTTGGTTCCTGAACGATGTAAAATAAACCTTTCCAATTTTGTTCAATGGACTAAAAAGTATCATTAGTTTATTCAGCTCAGAACCAATCACTTCAGGTAGTAAGTGATATAGGATCATTTTTTTGCGAATATAAGTCATCTTAAGCACGCTAATAAGAAATCCCGAAAACAGCGTATACAGCATAAAACCTAACCACGTACTGATGTACATCAGTACGTGGTTAGGTTTTGTGCTGTCATCATCGTCCTTGACAAAGCGTCAGTAGAGAGTGCCCCTTGTGATGTGTATACGATCAAGGTTGGCGTTACACTCGACTGACCGTGGACTTTGAACCTGTAAATATATGTTGTCTACACATGACTATGTGTGGATCAATAACATCATACTGATAAGACTTTACACATATTCAACCTATGCCTCAGAATTTTACTGTTGAATACCAATAGTTTTGCCCTTGATTCTCGAATCGAATTCTGAAAGAAAGGTGTAATTACAAAATCAACACCACCACTGTAGCTATGGTGAGTCAACTAAATATCGACAATATGTACTACATGACAAAAAGTATGAGAACTAGATCTTTAAAGATATATCTTTAAATGAAATTACATTAAGTGAATATAATATATCATGAAATGTAATTAAATATCGCATATCAATGAGGTTTTGACATGTTTATAGCATATACAGGGTATATTAAACTGTTCATAATATATCTCCCCCCTCCCCCTCCTCAAAAAAAAGGAAAAAAAGGGAGTAATATATCTAAAGTAAACGAGATGTCTTTTTCAGGTATTGAATGGAAGCTGACTTGCCACAGTTAAGGGACACATGAGACCTAGGTTGGCGTAAGCATGTAAGAAGTATACATGTACATATCTTGTGTGCGTGGACCTCTGTTTAACACCCTCTTCCCCTTATCCTGTTCGACAAAACCACATGTAATAAAACCCCATGGATTCTCTGGCTTTTAGTCTGCTCTGAGACGGCTCTGACTCTCCAACTTGTTGAAAGTAAGATGTCTGTTAATAATCGAATCCTTTGACCCCAGCAACGGTCTAGAGACTGTTGAGAGTAATGTCTATTATAGAGTTGTAAAATTTGTATCGGGCTCTTTAATTGGATTGTGTGAATTAATCATGATCACCAGGCAAACAAATAGTTAATTAATTAATGATTACCTGCAGAATGACCTTGGCAGTGTCCAATGGGAAAGTCAAGCAATCAGCAATGCACGCGGCTGTTCCGGCGCATGCCAAATTCTTGACAAGTCCTGGTTGGGTTTCTTTACTGAGAGACATCTTGTGAACGTCTAAGCTTAAGACCTACAACACACAGATATAGGAGTTAATCCCTTGATATATTGTAGAAAAGTCTGAAAAAAACCGTACTACAGAAAACTTGGTCAAAGATCTTTCTAAAAAAGGTACATACAGATGCAAGAAACAAGGAAAGGATTAATCACAAAACTGTTGCATGCCCTAAGATAATCGTCTTGTGTTCGAAACGAAACATCGCGATCAATCCCTTTAATGTCATGTGACGTTCGTTTGACTTTTTCTTGGTACGCAACGTCATTTCTCATATCTGTTTAATTTGAAAATCAACCAGTACCAGTTTTCTTATTCCTAAGTTAAAGAGTCTTACACACCTCCACTTCTGTTTCAGCAGTACTTAAGACCGATCAGGATCTCGAACTTTTTGGCCCCTAGCATCACCGCCGAGTCCTAGACGGCCGAAACAGCTGTATGATGTAGAGCAATTCACTTTTTGCATACCGTATCTATTACAAAATGTTTAATGACACCTAATGTATATTCCTTTTATTTGTTATGTTTTATACATGAGTAACATCCGCGTGACAACAAGTGTCACATAAAGTCGGGTGCTAATGTAGACACTATTCAAAGTAGATGTGAAAAAAGGGACAATAAAGAGGTCACAGGTGTTGCACTTGGGCAGGGGATCAGTTTCGGTACGTGGCTCCCCTACATTAATATCCAAATGACTACTTTTCTTTGATAGGCAATCCCTGTTTCATCCCTTGATTGAGACATTTATTTGACGATTTTTTTCTCGATAAGAAAATCTCCCTCCACTCCTTATAATATAAAAAATGACATGTTAAGTTTACAGCTTTTCTTAGGTAAGAACCCCTCCCTACACCCATTAGAAAAATTATATGTGAAATTAAGTTTACAAACTTTCCTTGGTAAGAACTTCTCCCTTTACCCCTTCAATGAGGTATGATGTACGGATGACAACAATTCTTTGTACGTCTAACCGTCTTGTAATTTATCTTTTGGTCAGGTTTTTATGATGACTCGTTAATTACATTGCATTGGTATATAATCCAATATAGAATATAAGCTTTATTTATTTTACAACAATTATGAAACAGGTTATTTCAACTTACAAACAATCCCTCTTATTAGCCCGGATGTAAGTGCGTGGGGATCTTAATATGGGAGGAAATCGGAGTATCCAAAGAAAACCCACATAGCCAGGCAGGTGACCCTCGAACCCGTTATCTATTGCATCACCCGTTAACACAATAGTTTAATCCTTCATACACCGCGTTTAATGATTTTGAATGTCTAGTCGACGAATTTTTCTTGATCTGTAGTCTTTGTTCACGTTAAATTGCATGCATGTGTATTAGACTACCTCTCGGTGGTACATGACGGTAAATCTCTTTGTATAATCCTGTTTTATGTTACGCTGTCATTACAGCTGACGACTTGTATTTGGCACAATCTTCCATTATAAATCGTCCATTGCATAGTATGTCTCGAATAACGATCAACATAATAATTAACGCTCAAATTACCAACCAATGTCACTAAGCTATAACAAATACTGAAAACCTGTATAATTCATTTTCAGAACAGGCGTGAAGAGTTGAGTAATATTAAATTCTAAGGTGTACGTAAAATGTGTACACAAATTTCCATCCAAGTACCAGACGTATTTAATATCATGACGATACAAATATGTACAAATAAGATATATAGATTTTAGAAACACAATACATAGATTTTAGAAACACAATATAACACAGTATATCGATCCGACAGGCACATGTGGTACAAATTAAATCAAATTACTTCGGTACAATTTATAATGTTCAGCTGTCAAAACCACCAACACATACTCACACACAAAAAAATATAATAAAAACTTTGTTTCTGATATCATGTCAATTAAACAAATTATTCATAGCCTAACATCAAAGAAAATAAATTCAACTTACCAAAAGTCGAAAGTTATGGATCCAGCAGAGTGTTTGACCAAATCTATAATACACACGTATAAGTATCAGTCTGAGTGTTCATTGGGTTGTCGTTGAAAACAAACTTGTTGAGATTGAATTGTAGAATTAGTATAAATCATTCCACTGGAAGTTTCACAATCTAGAAAAAGTACTGATGGTGTGGTATATCTGTGAATCATCTTTCTGTCGTGAATTGTAGTCTGTGATCTGATGATACCCGCTCCGTTACGCCAACTGTGGCCTATGGGTGCTTTTATAAACAGCTAGCTGATCAGGAATACGGAGCTGATGTAATCCGAAGTGCGTAGAAGGTGTGTCTCATTCCAGCTATCTGATTGGCTAGTGAAATAGGTCAATAGACTTTCCGTGACACGTGTATAGGTTGTTTACAAACACTGCTCCGGTAAAACAGTGTATATACCGACAGTGTGACTCGACAATTAAAGTAGCAGCTCACACCACAGTCGTGTATAATCATGAATAGAGAATTTTCAATACATATGTGCTTAGTCTATATCTGAAAGTCACCTGTAATGTACAAGTACGTATGTAAAAATAAATAGATAAAAATAAGTAAAGGCAATCAACGTACGTTGTGATTGTGCACTATATATACTCACCACATCGTATATAAAAATACTTACACAAAAGAATATGTTTTAAACGTAGACATGTACAAGTACGTAAGTAAAAATAAATAGATAAAAATAAGTAAAGGCAATCAACGTACGTTGTGATTGTGCACTATATATACTCACCACATCGTATATAAAATACTTACACAAAAGAATATGTTTTTAACGTAGACCTACATAATGGAGTCTTAATAATTAAGCCACAAATTTTTCTCAACATAAGTGTCTTGATTGTCGATTTAAAGGGCTGATTTATAAGGGCAGTATATTTACAGAAAATTCTGTGCACTTTTGTTAATAATACTACTATAGTCTGATAACCGGATGGTGGTTAGCTCGGATGTGTTTTGTATGTGCAGATGGAAAAACGCTAGCAAAGACATCCGTTAAATATATCGCCTACATATATGTCTTAAACTTTAACGAGGACGTAAGTAAAACCCCAAACAAACCGTTAAATACAATGACAGTTAGGAGTGATACAGTCCCCGTAATGTGGCCTATCTTAAAATCGAATATATAATCGAAGGTTACACGTAAGATTAACAGATGTTACCCTGGGTAAATAAAGCTTTATTTGTATTCTTGTAGGGAGGCATGGCAGGGTCATCGGATTTCATGAAAACGGGTTCAGTTCATCCCACGACGTAACCAACTAACACGTCTTTCCCTTCTGACTCGATCGTGGGGACATGTCGAAACAGCATTAAAATGCTTTCTAAAAGAGAGCTGGGACTCTTCAGGCATACATCCTATTTACTTTTCATTTTTATATTATTTTAAAATCGATCAGTTTTGTGTAAGTGACTGCATTTACAACAATGTTACATATGGTATCTTAATTACATGACCTAACAATGTTACCTTCGGTATCTTAATTACATGTCCTAACAATGTTACCTATGGTATCTTAATTACATGTCCTAACAATGTTACCTACGGTATCTTAACTACATGTCCTAACAATGTTACCTACGGTATCTTAGTTACATGTCCTAACACTGTTACCTACGGTATCCTAATTACATGACCTTACAATGTTACCTATGGTATCTTAATTACATGTCCTAACAATGTTACCTACGGTATCCTATTTACATGACCTAACAATGTTACCTACGGTATCCTTAGTACATGACCTTACACTGTTACCTACGGCATCTTAATTACATGACATAACAATGTTACCTACGGTATCTTAATGACATGACCTAATAATGTTACCTACGGTATCTTAATTACATATCCTATCAATGTTACCCAAGGTATCCTAGTTACATGACCTAACAATGTCGACTAAGGTATCTTAGTTACATGACCTAACACTGTTACCTACGGTATCTTAGTTACATGACCTAACACTGTTACCGACGGTATCTTAGTTACATGACCTAACAATGTTACTTAAGGTGTTTTAATTACATGACCTAACAATGTCACCTAAGGTGTTTTAATTACATGACCTAACAATGTCACCTACGGTATCTTAGTTACATGACATAACAATGTTACTTAAGGTGTTTTAATTACATGACCTACCAATGTCACCTACGGTATCTTAGTTACATGACCTAACAATGTTACTTAAGGTATCTTAGTTACATGACCTAACAATGTCACCTAAGGTGTTTTAATAACATGACCTAACAATGTCACCTAAGGTGTTTTGATAACATGACCTAACAATGTCACCTACGGTATCTTAGTTACATGACCTAACAATGTTACATAAGGTATCTTAGTTACATGACCTAACAATGTCACCTAAGGTGTTTTGATAACATGACCTAACAATGTCACCTACGGTATCTTAGTTACATGACCTAACAATGTTACCTACGGTATCTTAGTTACATGTCCTAACAATGTTACCTACGGTATCTTAATTACCTGACCTAACAATGTTACCTACGGTATCTTAATTACATGTCCTAACAATGTTACCTACGGTATCTTAGTTATATGACCTAACAATGTCACCTACGGTATCTCAATAACATGACCTAACACTTACTGCGGTATCTTAATTACATATCCTAACAATGTTACCTACGTTATCCTAATTACATGACCTAACACTGTTACCTACGGTATCTTAATTACATGTCCTAACTATTTTACCTAAGGTGTTTTAATTACATGTCCTAGCAATATTACCTAAGGTGTTTTAATTACATGACCTAACAATGTTACCTACGGTATCTTAATTGCATGTCCTAACAATATTACTCACGGTATCTTAATTACATGTCCTAACAATGTTTCCTACTGTATCCTAATTACATGACCTAACAATGTTAGATATGGTGTTTTAATAATATGAACTTACAGTGTTACTGATGGTGTTTTAATTGCATGACCTTATTACACTTTTGATTAATATCACACAATATAATACCAATACAAATCTTTATTACATGTCCAAAACGATTGTGTTTTAGTGCCAACTATGTTTTTAAATTAAAAAGAAACAGAGAATTCTTATTTCCCTTCAAAGCACACATTGTAACTAAACACGTTACAGCTGACACGCTACTATAGCTACCGGTCTTGTTGCATTGTTAAAACACGAATATTTCTCAAATAAAAACATGTCATTTTATCGTACATCAATTGACAATGTACAAATGTATTTTACACGAGTGGATTATTCTTATCTTTTTTATATATATAAAAAAAAAGTGCATTAGCCGCCATGGAAGGCTTGTGGTTTCTTGTTGCGATTAATCGCAGGAGGCGAAACCAGACTACATGTAAGACGTTCATGCTCATCTTGCATGACCTATATCATAACATCTTTACATAGAAGTTAAGTTGATGTGCATACTGTCTACGGGTCGCCTTTCTTGGATTTCACTAGATCATTGTGATATCATTAAAGTGAATTGGTGATATCACCAAAGGTTAAAGTGATATCACATTCCATTTAGATTAACCGCCCACCTATAGTGATATCTCTAATTAATCAGAGTAATATCACTAAAAATGTCCATGGAATTGAAGACAAGGGCGTCTATTAGCTGTTTGTATTATTTCAAATGTATATGTACATTGTATTTGTAATGGAGCTTTGCAAAAAAAAATAGTTTACCGTCGGGTNTAATTACATGACTTAACACTGTTACCTACGTTATCCTAATAACATGACCTAACACTGTTACCTACGGTATCCTAATTACATGACCTAACACTGTTACCTACGGTATCTTAATTACATGTCCTAACAATATTACCTAAGGTGTTTTAATTACATGTCCTTGCAATATTACCTAAGGTGTTTTAAATACATGACCTAACAATGTTACTTAAGGTATCTTAGTTACATGACCTAACAATGTCACTTAAGGTGTTTTAATTACATGACCTAACAATATTACCTAAGGTGTTTTGATTACATGACCTAACAATGTCACCTACGGTATCTTAGTTACATGACCTAACACTGTTACCTACGGTATCTTAATTACATGTCCTAACAATGTTACCTACGGTATCTTAGTTACATGTCCTAACAATGTTACCTACGGTATCTTAGTTACATGTCCTAACACTGTTACCTACGGTATCTTAATTACATGNTTCACTAGATCATTGTGATATCATTAAAGTGAATTGGTGATATCACCAAAGGTTAAAGTGATATCACATTCCATTTAGATTAACCGCCCACCTATAGTGATATCTCTAATTAATCAGAGTAATATCACTAAAAATGTCCATGGAATTGAAGACAAGGGCGTCTATTAGCTGTTTGTATTATTTCAAATGTATATGTACATTGTATTTGTAATGGAGCTTTGCAAAAAAAAATAGTTTACCGTCGGGTGTGTATTTTACATGTTATAACGCTTCGACAACTTGAATGTTTGTTAAGCACTTGATCGACAAATCGCTTCTGTATGTCGACTGATATTTGTTAAAATTGCTTGTCCACAAGGCACCTAGCACCAAAACAAAATATATGTATGGAGGACTACTAGTGGACGACATTTTCTAAAAAAACACACCTAAATAACACAAAATTACGGTTCATTTGTTTTTAATTACGAAGATATTCAATTTTGTTTTTGTCTATCACAAACTCATAATAATTAAACCACAATCACATGTCAATATCCCAAAGGAAGAATATCACATTTCAAAGTCAACAGCTTCTCTAGTCCCTTGGTTGCTTCTATCATGAGAAAACGGGACTGTTTTTATTCGAAAGAATTCCAATATTATCTCATATCAATTATTTTCTATTTCTATTTCTAATACCAGGGCAGCCCGATTTGACAGAGTCACCAACACATGTACCGTATTTATATTTTGATCGCAGTTAGTCTTATTGTCTTGACCCTTAGTGTCACCTCAATATAGCCAACGATCCCGCTGCAATTTACAAATGCAATGTTAACATCTAGTACTCTACACCTCTTTTAAACTAGTTCAGCTATCTTGCCTTGGCCAGCTCTATTTCGGCCACATGTTTGCGGTTGATGTTTTCCCTAACTCTCCCTTAAATTGCATTTGTTTACTCTGTAACGATAAAGTTCGATGTTTCATATCAATTGCGCAGTCGTTTGTTAGGGGTAAAGTTTCCTTAACACCATTTAATATATATTTAGGCATTTGTATGAAAGGATTTCATAACCATAGTCCAT